ACATTTCCTTGTCCTGTTCAACATCGTTTGGGAAATACTAACAAAAGAAAAAAATTCAAAGGGGGGTGAATAATTTTGCCTTCAACTGTGTATACTTATTTTATATTATTTATTCAATTTATTATAAATAGTGTATGGTTGTCTGAATCATACTATAGTAAAGTACTTAAATTAGTCTGTTGTGGTGATTCTACAGTTGCTATGCTATCACAACAACTATAGCAATTTAAACAATTGAGCCAGTATACTGTAGTTGTATTTAACTATAGTGTATATTATACAATACACCACAGTTTACTGTAGTAAACACTAAAGTATGCTACAGTATTTATTACAGTTTATCAGTTCACTATAGTTAATACTACAGTATGCTGCAGGATTCATTAATGCTGTTAAGTACAGTATACAGTATGATTCATTCATTTATTTATTTTCTTGTCGGCTTAGTCCCTTTATTAATCCAGGGTCGCCACAGTGGAATGAACCGCCAACTTATCCAGCAAGTTTTTACGCAGCGGATGCCCTTCCAGCCACAACCCATCTCTGAGAAACATCCACACACACACTCATACACTGCGGACAATTTAGCCTACCCAATTCACCTGTACCGCATGTGTTTGGACTGTGGGGGAAATCATAGCACCCGGAGGAAACCCACACGAACGCAGGGAGAACATGCAAACTCCACACAGAAACACCAACTGAGCCGAGGCTCGAACTAGTGACCCAGCAACCTTCTTGCTATAAGGCGACAGCACTACCTACTGCGCCACTGCTTCACCCCCGTATGACACACTTTACTATAATATGATTCAAAGACACTATAAATAAATTACTACAGTATTTTTCCAGCAAGCATCAGTACTTCTGTCGCCACAATTCAGATCCAGAATGTTTTAAACTATTTTTTGTGCAAAAAGCAGTCACTGTGACTGGTAAAAATAAAATAAAAATAAATAAATAAAAATAAGTTGGTGTATAATATGATGAACTATGATTTATGTGCGGCTTTTATTTGTAATGACTAATACTAATTAAAGCAACACAGCATGCAAATAATCACAAAGAGCCCATCATGTTTCACAGTACACAATGTGCAGATAAATACAATCACTGAGTGTCTTTTACAGGACAATATTAAAACACTCGAATCAGCTCTGCACAAAGAAGAAAATTAATAAATTCATAAAGGAATATCTGCAAATTTGGCATACCAAGGTTAGGGTTTCCAAACATGTAGCACTGAAAAAAAAATATTCAGAGATGATTCCTTGGATTTACTAAAGTTTTTTACGTTAAGTGGTTGTAAACAATTTATTTGTGTTGAATTTAAACAAACAAATTAAGTTAAACATTATTAAACTTAATTTGTTTGTTTAAATTCAACACAAATAAATTGTTTGCAACAGTTCTGCATGCAACACTTTTATCAGTGTATTAGACACAGAGCTGGATTTGGCATTTTGTTTAGAGTCTTTCTTACTGAAACACACATTTTGTTTTAACCCGACACTATTCATCTTGCCTATGATTTAAATAATGTATTGTTGTGTATTGTCTTTGTACAATAAATAAATGAACTAAACTATAATTGTGTTTCCCTCGTCCTCCAGCAGGGGTTATCCAGGTGACCCAATAAACCTTGACATGTTAGTAGCACAAGGTCACAACACGGCAGAAAATCCCACAAGCTTGCAGATCTCCATTATATAACGAGCTGTGTTTGTGTAAAAGACCTCGAGCTGCTGGATTTCATCATTTATTTCTCCTCATGTTGTTCTAACCCTGGAAAAAAGTTGAGTATTCTGAGAGTCTGATCAGACTTGCAGTTAATGCAAACCATTAAGCAATTAATCTTTGGTTAGTTAAATGTGTAGTGAAGTAATGAAACTCAAATTAATTTATGTTGACATGTTCAATTCAAGTATGGCTTCCAGAGTCATTTTTGTGCTACTTTAAACATAATTCTAAATTACATATAATATTTGTTTTAATTATGGAAAAGTTTATTTAATTATTTAAAATTATTTTTATTTCTAAACAATGTATATTCTTATTTTTTTCCATTTCTTTGCATTGATTTTCACTGAATATTTCTATTATATTTTTATTTCTAAATGACATATAACTTTTTTTAATTATGCAAAAGTTTAGTTTATTTTCCTTTGACTTCATAGCATTTTTTGCATCGCTTTGCATTGAATAAAGTGTACAAAATATTATGCATTTTTAATACATGTATTTATTCATTTAGTTATTAGGAATAGTACTTAAATATTGTTTAATTTTCCATACATTAGTATATTTCATTTCACTCCATTAGTACATTAAAGTCTTATTTGTGTCCAATTTTCTCCATCTGCAGACGTGCCGGGTCGGAAGGCGTCTGTTTGTGGAGGGTCTTCAGTATCAAAAGTCAAAGTCAGCTTTATTGTCAATTCCACCACATGTACAGGACATATAGAGAATCGAAATGACGTTACTCTCAGACCCTAGGTGCCTAACATATAACGTTAATACAAAAAGTAGAGTTTTAAGAAAGAATTTACAATAAATACAATTATACATAAAATGTAATCTAAATATATTCCTAAAATTTAGTCTAAATATATACATAAACTGTAGTCTAAAGAATAATTAAAAAAAGAAAGAATAAAAATTGTAATCAATACAATAATATACAAAAGCATTAAGGGCATATGGCGATGAGTGCAAACCAGAGTTGTGCAGATAGAGCCGTATATAGTGCAAAAAGGCTTGTAAACATAAGATAAAGTGACAGTATCAGGATATATAGGGAGGTAGTCCCTATATGAGGCTCAGAAGGGCCCTAAAGGAGGTTCTAGTTCCTCTTTATCCGCAGGATGGGGACATTTCGTATCTAAAGATTAGTACCACTTAAAATTATATTAAAAAATTGTATATATAATTTTCTTTTATTACAAATATTTCCCAAATGATGTTGAACAGATTCAGGAATTTTTCACAGCATTTCCTCTAATATTTTTTCTTCTGGAGAAAGTCTTATTTGATTTATTTCAGCAAGAATAAAAGCAGTTTTAAATTTTTTTAAAACCCATTTTAAAATTCAACATTATTAGCCCCCTTAAGCAAAATTTGTTTTGGATTGTCTCGAGAACAAACCACTGTTATACAATGACTTGCCTAATAGGGTTGTGGCGATACCAATAAATCATGTTATGATACTAAACCAGCTAAAGTGTCGTGATACCAAGTAGTATTGAGATACTGTAATTCATAACTCAAATCCATGAAATAAAGCAAACTGTCAGAAATACTATATTTTATATGTTATAAGCCTACTTGAATTGAAATAATGATTTCCTTAATATTGAAAAGTATTTGCACGTCACTTCACCTGAAATGTATTCGTCTTTTGTTTATTTTGTAGATAACTGACCAACAATAAATACATTAAAATACAGATACAAATGATACCAAATTAAACTTACATTAATAGTAAAATTAGCATTTTTCCAACCAAATTAGGCTTCATGAAGTGGTCAAATTCAGTTTTAATGTTTCCAGTATCTTTTTTTTTCCAGTCTCATAAGGTGATTAAAAATTTCACCTTGTGAGTCACTTTTTTTAAGAGATTGGTCGCAGTTGTTGTAGCTACTAAATCATACTGACAGCAGCAGAAATAAATTGATTCAGACTCAATCTGAAGCGTCAGAAAACGTGCAATAGGCTCCCAAAAAATGAGTGAATTCTACACGGTTTTACAAACTTGCAAACATGCTCCACAGCACAGACTATTCAAATAAGGTGGTCTATTGTTGCACAAACCTGTGAGGTTTTTAGAAACCACATGCAACATTATGTATTGTAGATAGACCGTTAATGACGATGCTAACATTGACAAACTACAGTGGCATTGCCAGTATTTTGGAGCCGTATCACGATACTACCATAATAGTATCGGTAAACCGTGCAACCCTATTCCCCAATTTCCCTAACTTTAGCCTAGTGAAGCCTTTAAATGTCACTTTAAGAGAAAATAAATCAGTTATTAGAGATTACTTATTAACACTATTATGATTAGAAATGCGAACATTATATATATATATATATATTTTTTTTTTTTTCCTCAATTTCTGTGTAACGGAGAGCAGATATTTTCAACACATCTCTAATCATAATAGTGTTAATAATTCATCTCTAATAACTGATTTATTTCCTCTTTGTCATGATGACAGTAAATAATATTAGACTAGATATTCTTCAAGACACTTCTATACAGCTTAAAGTGACATTTAAAGGCTTCACTAGGGTAATTAGGGTAACTAGGCAAGTTATTGTATAATGATGCTTTATTCTGGAGACTATTGAGAAACAAAATATAGTTTATAGGGGCTAATAATATTGACTATAAAATGGTTTTAAATAAGTTAAAAACTGCTTTTATTCTAGCTGAAATAAATCAAATAAGACTTTCTCCAGAAGAACAAATATTATCAGACATACTGTGAACATTTCCTGAATCTGTTCAACATCATTTGGGAAAAATGTAAAATAGAAAAAAAGCAAAGGGGCGCTAATAATTCTTTATTATTGGTTAATTATATCAAATACATTAACTAGCACAACCTTATTGCAATATGTGACCTAAGAAAAGGAGATAAATACAGCTCTGGGCCTGTCTGAACTATGATAATCTCCTCTATCAGGTCATCGACCTCCTCCTCCTCCTCCTCCTTGGCTTGGAGCTGTTTGTAGGTTTATAGGTTCTATTATGATTATAGGCTCACGGGTTGCTCTGTAATGATAGTATCATATAATGGACTAGTCCTTGGTCGCTTGGTACGGCCTGGTGTAATAATGCCTCCTCAGAGATAATAATAAACCCGGCCTACAGTGGCTCTCAGCTTATCACAGATCAGTTGTTTAGTTCACAGCAGAGGCAGAGGTCAAAGTTCAACCGCTCTGTATGTGTGTGTGTGTGTTGTATAAATAAGAGCCAGATGTGAATGTCTCACAGTCTGTAAGAGCTGGAGAAACACACACACACACACATCATTATCATCATCATGGACTGCGGATGTGATTGTGCAGATTTTGCGCAGCCGAATGCGATCCTGTTTAATATTCTCAGCCGTGGAGAGTTCAGCTATAAGCGTGTTCCTCAGACGTGTCACTGTGAGAAGCGCAGACGAGTGTGTTTGCAGACGCCGAGTGAGACGTGTGCGCTGGCGTCAGACGTGCTGGTGAAGACGGTGTATTTCATGAAGAATCTGCCGGCGTTTCAGCAGCTGCCGCCCAAAGACCAGCTGAAGCTCCTGCAGAACTGCTGGACGCCGCTCTTCATCCTCGGCCTGGCGCAGGACAGGGTGCACTTCCAGGTAAATAAGTTGTTATTTGAGAGATTTAAACTCTTAACTCTTGTGTTGGGTCATTTTTATCCACTCTGGGCTGATTTTGAGTCTTAATTTGGCCTCAACTTTCTCTGTGTTTCAGCAAATGTGATGATTTTTGCTGACAAATCTTATTTTGACACATATTTTGGGAAAATGCTTTTAAAATCTCAACAACACACTGTTCAGATAGACTTCCCTTTGGTTATGTTGGGGGCTGTTTTTGCCCGATTGACATTCATTGTAGTCACATTTTATGATTGCAAAGCCATGACAGCATATAATCATGCATTCTTGATTGTTGCTGGTTTTCCCTGTTGGGAAGAGGGACAATCTGTCATATAGAATGCATAAATAAACAAATATACTAATTAGCTTAATTACCTTATTGTAAAATATAGACACATTATATATATATATATATATATATATATATATATATATATAATGTGTCTATATTTTATATGTAAATATAAACGTTTTGTCAAATATATGCATGCATGTGTGCTTATATATATATACATATATATATATATATATATATATATATATATATATATATATATATATATATATATATATATATATATATATATATATATATATATATATATTGTTTCTACTGGTAAATGCATTACCTAACATTATCTAATGCAGCCTCATAGTAAAATGTTACTGTATATTGTGAATGTTCATTGTCACAACCTATTTTGCATAGTTAGTTTGTTGATGCTAACAAATGCATTAAATAACATTAACTAATGCAACCTTATTGGACAGCATTTTCGTATATTGTTATATTGTGCATGTTCATTATCATGATATATTGAGTTATTGAACATGTTCCAAAGTTTATTAGTTAGTAAATGCATCAACTATCTTTAACTAATGCAACCTTATTGTAGAGTGTTTTCGTATATTGTTATATTGTGCATGTTCATTTTGATGATATATTGATTTATTGAAATATTCCAGGTGGACGAGAGCGCGGCTCCCAGCATGCTGAAGCGGATCCTGCTGAGCGGGCAGGAGAGCGCAGGTGCGGACTCTGAACAGCCCACACTGGCTGGAGTGCAGACGCTCAAATCCTGCATCAACAAGTTCTGGAGTCTGGATCTGAGCCCCAAGGAGTACGCCTACCTGAAGGGCACGGTCATATTCAATCCAGGTGGGATGCACAGACACTGTAATGATGCATAATATATATTCTTTTAATTATGGAAAGATTTAATTTTATTTATTTATTTATTTTTTTTGCATTGTTTTGCATTGAACATTCCTGTTAAATGATATATAAAATATTTGTTTTAATTATGGAAAAGTTATTTTATTTTCATTTATTTCTACGTTAAATATTTTTATTCTATTTTTTCCTTGATATATATATATATATATATATTATTTGTTTGCTTTGCTTTGCATTGAATATTTCTATTTCATTTTTATTTCTAAATGATGTATAACATATTTTTGTAATTTTTAAATTTTTTAATTTAGTTTTTGCATTGCTTTGCATTGAATATTTCTACTCTATTTTTAATTCTAAATTATGTATAATATTTATTTTTTTCATTTGTTTGCATTGCAATGCATTGAATATTTCTATTTTATTTTTATTTTTAAATGATCTATAATAAATTTTGTAATTTTGCAATTTTATTTTATTGATTTTTATTTTTCGCATTGCTTTTCCACTGAATATTTCTATTCTATTTCTATTTTTAAATGATGTATAATATATATTTTTAATTATGGAATTTTATTTATTTGTACTTTATTTTATTATTTATTTTCCCTTGGCTTTGCATTGAATATTCCCATTATATTTTCATTTCTAAATGATATAGATAGAATATATACTTTTAATTATGTAAAAGTTTAGTTTATCAAGTTATATTTTATTTCATTGCATTATGTATTGGATAAAGTGTCCAAAAATATTATGTCATTTTAATTCTGTATTTATTTATTTGTTTAGCTATTATGAACAGTACTATTATATTGTCTTTTATATTATATTATATTATATTATATTATATTATATTATATTATATTATATTATATTATATTATATTATATTTCTTTTCACTCCATTAGAATATTAAAGTCTTCTTTGCATCTGATTTTCTCCATCTGCAGATGTGCCGGATCTGAAGGCGTCTCTGTTTGTGGAAGGTCTTCAGTATGAGGCTCAGCAGGCCCTGAAGGAGGTTCTGGTTCCTCTTTATCCCCAGGATGGAGGACGTTTTGCTCGAATCCTCCTCACTGCATCCACATTAAAAAGCATCACGCCGAGTCTGATCACAGAGTTGTTCTTTCGGCCCGTCATCGGAGATGCTCAAATCCTGGATCTGCTCGCAGACATGCTCTTCAGCCGATAGACAGCCGAGAGCCGTGCTGCAAGGTTATTATAGTCTACCTTTTTAAAATTAGATTTCTTTTATTTTTATTTTGAAGTGCTTATATTTGATCCCTTTTACAAGATGTAAGATCAGCCTGTCTTCAGAATGTGCTTTCAGCTCAAAATACCCATCAGATCATTTAATACACCATGCAGAAGATGTGAATTCTGGGGTCAGAGGAAAGTGTAGCTGTTTATGTAGCCTGTGCCTTTAAATGCAAATGAGCTTCTCCCCCGCAACAAAATCTGATTGGATGTGATTGAGATTAACTTTGATCACATTAATGCATCTCTGCTAAATGGATATGATTTTGATCTTGTGCTATATGCAAATGTAACTAGGTTACATCAACTAAAGCATCAGATACACAGCATTTGAATTATTTAATATTATTATTGACAGAAGCGTGAGCTATAAATGCATAAAAAAATGCATGAAGTGACCAGGTGAGAGCAGCCCCTTAGTGAAACAAATCAAATCATATTTTAAACAAACACTAAACACTAAATCTTAATGTGTAAAAGTAAAATCTATGAGGAAATCAGACAAACTTGTTTATAAAAGACACGTATATGCAGGTAAACATGCTTAGTTTGTCATGTTTGTCAGATGAAGAAAAGATAGATCAGATGTTTTTCTGTTTTTTGTTTATAATGCTGATCTTCACTGATGTGTTTGGCGCCATCTACTGGTGATTCTCTAAACAGCATAGAACATTCATTCATTTTCTTGTCGGCTTAGTCCCTTTATTAAGGCTGATTTATACTTGTGCATCATGCGCATGCGAATGCTACAGCGCAGCCTACACATAGATGCATAGCCCTCGTCTTGGCTGTCGGCGTCGCTGACGTGCACGTATTAAGCTGTCATTAGAGTTTGTCACATTAGAGTTTGTGTGTGCACAATTCTGTTGTGCGGCGCTGCGAAAAAGGGCGGGACTAAACAAGCTTATTAGACATTAAGAAAAGCAAGCGATTGCACAAATTTCTGTCCAGAGAGGTCATGTTTTTATCCTCGATTGGTCGCACATAGTCAAGTGATGCGATTTCGCAAGTCAGAGTTCACCAAGCTTGAACTTCGCACCGCAGCAACCTGCGAAAACGTGACGCATGACCCTGCGTTTGCGGTCTGACGCACTCGCGTGCATATGAATAGAAGTCTATGCGAGGAAAAGCCCAGTGTGACCGCAGCTTTAAAAAATGTAACTATGTTGCAACAACACGTAATGCAAGCTCTTTGATTGGTCAGCTTGGAAGCACTGATGAGTGTGGGCGGGGCCGAGAGCTACATGAGTGTTTACAAGTGTCGACTGTTTACAAGGAGACTGTTGCTTTGTGTTTACCTTATGGTTAAGGTTGTTGCACGTCTGAGTTTGAGAGAGTTTGAACCACTTGCACATTAAGGAAGAGTTTAGAAAAAAAAAAAAACCCCAGAGAAGAAACTCAACACAGAGGAACATTAACACCTCACTGCCAACTAGTGTTTCGGAAGTTTATTGCAAAGCAACAGAAACAGCGCGCAGAAGTCTGAATGCAGCTACGCACGTTACATGCGCCGCGGGTCACGACGATCACTTGATGCAGAAGTATAAACCAGGCTTAAATCTGGGGTCGCCACAGCGGAATGAACCGCCAAATTATCCAGCATATGTTTTACACAGGGGATGCCCTTCCAGCTGCAACCCAAACACCATAACAGTGAGTGCTTATTCATTCTGAAAGTGATCATTAAGTTTTGCTGATTATTGTTTTATTTCTGTTAGTTCTTCAGTAGTTTTTCATTCATTGCATTTTTTTTAAATTCATTTTACAAAATGTTTTTTTTTTGCCCAATAGTTTGTTTAAGTTTTTGTTTACTACAATAACCTTGCCGCGGACTCAAAGATGTCTTAAATATGGAGATTTGTCTTCAGAAACACGATAAATCCACACTACATCAGGACTGATCTGAACAGTTACAGACTCTTTATTGTTTACACACGTTCATGAAACTGATGCAGCGTTGTAATGCTGTTTAGGTCACAAAGATGTGATTCATGTCTGAGTATTGATTGTTTCTTTGCCTTTTGTTGGATGTAAAGTTGTCATTTTTTATACTGGATGTGAAAATGCAAAGTATTCCTTGATAAAAGGCAGCAAGCGGAGCTTCACGTATCGTCTCTGTGAGAAAGCCAGAATGTATTTGAGGAAGAAAAAACATTTGTATGTTCATGAATATGCTGCAATAAATTTATTTTTACAGATTTTTGTGTCAATGACTGTGTTTTCTGCACTATAAGACATTTTCTTTTTCCAAAAGGCTTCATTTTTGTTACAAGTTGGTAGCAAATCTTAAAGTAGTGCATAAGGAAATCTGATATATGGTAATATATGCAAATCACCTATTGAACATTCAAAGTTGTGTTTAGATTTTCAAGACATAAAAAATTAGATATGCTGTAGTCAACGTTGAAGTGGATTAAAGAAAGTTTTTCAAATTTTTCCAAGACAAGGATTTAAACCACTCAAATGTATATATATATATATATATATAGTTGAAGTCAGAATTATTCGCCCCCTTTTGATTTTTATTTTCTCTTTTAATTATTTCCCAAATTATCTTTAACAGAGCAATGACATTTTACAGTATGTCTGATAATACTTTTTCTTCTGGAGAAAGTCTTATTTGTTTTATTTCGGCTAGAATAAAAGCAGTTTTTATTTTTTAAAAAACATTTTTTGGGACAAAATTATTAGCCCCTTTAAGCTAATTTTTTTTTTTATGATAGTCTACAGAACAAACCATCATCATACAATAACTTGCCTAATTACCCTAACCTGCTTAGTTCACCTTATTACCCTAGTGAAGCCTTTAAATGTCACTTTAAGCTGTATAGAAGTGTCTTGAAGAATATCTAGTCTAATATTATGTGCTGTCATCATGACAAAGAGAAAATAAATCAGTTATTAGAGATGAGTTATTAACATTAGTTAGTTATTATGATTAGAAATGTGCTGAAAACATCTTCCCTCCATTAAACAGAAATTGGGGGGAAAAAAATAAACAGGGGCGCTGATAATTCAGGGGGGCTAATAATTCTGGTTTCAACTGTGTGTGTGTGTGTGTATATATATATATATATACAGGGTATATTTTTTACTTTTTTTGCTTATTCCAGACTTTTATGAAATGCGTGCATGACAACCCTACCGTTTGACATGTGAAATTTCATTTAATTATTCCAACAAATATGTCGAAGCGCAAGTACGACCCTGAATATATGTAAAGTATGGATATATATAGATATTGACAACAAAAAAGACTTAAAGCCTCAGTGTCATATATAGTGAGGTGCTCTCATAAGAGGGCATGAAACCTTCTAAATTAAACAACATTTAGAAACCAGAAACATGTTTTATTACCAGTTTATTATTAACAGTATTTGTCGTATTTATTTTGTAATATTTCTATAATTTGATCCATTTTGTTAAATGATAGCAATGAAATATTGTTTATTTGTAAGTCTTGTTGAATTTCTTATGATGTATCTGTCACTACTTGTTTATGTTAACAAATAAATACAAATTAAGCATAATTCCTAAAACTGTATTATACTTCCAAAAAATTTGGGTCGTCGCTTGATGACCATGTAAAAATGTGGGTCCCATGGTCAAACCAGTTGAGAACCCCTGTTAATATATATATATATATTCATTCAAGCATTTTCTTTTCGGCTTTATCCCTTTATTAATCTGGGATCTCCACAGCAGAATGAACCGCCAACTTATCCAGCATGTGTTTTATGCAACAGATGCCCTTTCAGCTGCAACCCATCTCTGGGAAACATATATACACATTCATTCACACTCATACACTATGTCTGATAATATTTTTTCTTCTGGAGAAAGTCTTATTTGTTTTATTTCGGCTAGAATAAAAGCAGTTTTTATTTTTTAAAAACCATTTTTGGGACAAAATTATTAGCCCCTTTAAGCTATTTTTTTTTTTTTTTTATGATAGTCTACAGAACAAACCATCATCACAATAACTTGCCTAATTACCCTAACCTGTCTAGTTACCCTAATTACCCTAGTGAAGCCTTTAAATGTCACTTTAAGCTGTATAGAAGTGTCTTGAAGAATATCTAGTCTAATATTATTTACTGTCATCATGACAAAGAGAAAATAAATCAGTTATTAGAGATGAGTGATTAACACTATTATGATTAGAAATGTGCTGAAACAATCTTCCCTCCATTAAACAGAAATTGGGGAAAAAAAATATACAGGGGCGCTGATAATTCAGGGGGGCTAATAATTCTGACTTCAACTGTATATATATATATATATATATATATATATATATATATATATATATATATATATATATATATATATATATATACAGGGTTTATTTTTTACTTTTTTTGCTTATTCCAGACTTTTATGAAATGCGTGCACAACAATCCTACCGTTTGACATGTGAAATTTCATTTAATTATTGCAACAAATATGTCGAAGCGCAAGTACGACCCTGAATATATGTAAAGTATGGATATATATACCTAATTATTAATATTATTACTATTATTACTTAGTTATTATTATTTTATTATTATTTTTATTTTTTATTACTAAGTTATTATTATTATTATTATTGTTCAATAATAATTATTATTATTACTTTAATATTATTTTTATTATTATCATTTATTCTCCTTCAGTTTAGCCTTTATTGATCTGGGGTTGCGACAGTGGAATGAACAGGCAACTCATCCAGCATATGTTTTACACAGCGGATGCCCTTCCATCTGCAACCCAGCTCTGGGAAACACCCATACACTCATTCACACACTCACTCATACACACACACACACAGTTTATTATTAACAGTATTTGTCGTATTTATTTTGTAATATTTCTAGAATTTGTCCATTTTCCATTTTTTTTGTCCAAAAATCCATTTTGTTTAAAAAATGAAATATTGTTTATTTGTAAGTCTTGTCTTATAAGTTGAATTTCTTATGATGTATCTGTCACTATTTGTTTATGTTTACAAATAAATACAAATTAAGCATAATTCCTAAAACTGTATTATAGTTCCTAAAAATTTGGGTCGCCGCTTGATGACCATGTAAAAATGTGGGTCCCATGGCCAAACCAGTTGAGAACCCCTGTAAATATATATATATATATTCATTCAAGCATTTTCTTTTCGGCTTCATCCCTTTATTAATCTCGGGTCGCCACAGCTGAATGAACCGCCAACTTATCCAGCATGTGTTTTACGCAACAGATGCCCTTCCAGCTGCAACCCATCTCTGGGAAACATACATGCACATTCATTCACACTCATACACTATAGACAATTTAGCCCACCCAATTCCCCTATAGCGCATGTCTTTGGACTTGTCAGGAAAACCAGAGCACCCAGAGGAAACCCATGCAAACACAGGGAGAACATGCAAACTCCACACAGAAACGCCAACTGACCCAGCCGAGGCTCGAACCGGTGACCTTCTTTGACTACAAATAATTTCAATGAATATAAAATGAGGAATTCTTTCCAAACAAGTCGACTTGAAAAAATGATGTTCACATCACAATGTATATCCCAGAAAAACTGAATATCACAATGTGTGCTTTCAGTATCGTGCAGCTCTAAGATATACTGAGCAATGCTAAAAACAAGGGAGGAATAAAGTATGTAAATGAAAATGTGCATTAAAGAGATGTTATTATGCATGAAACACAGGTGTTGCAGATGAGTTAAGCAATATGAAAAGTCCCCTGAGGAACACTGAGGAAAGCAGACATTAATTTCCATGGTGTTTTTTGCTAGTATGGATCTCAATGTCTGCTTTTAAAAAAAACCATAATAGTTTGTGTGAGTAAATGGTGAAGAAATGTTCATTCATGCGGATGGTGAACTTTGGAGACCTCTGCTGGTGATTCAGTACAAAAAGAAATCCCAGTGTAATCCTCACTAATCTAATACACAGCAGTGCTAACAGAAGCACTTTTATAAGGGCTACATTTACTCATACTTTGAGTAGTGTTTACAACAGATGCTTTTGTTCTACTCTCACCACATTTGGCAAGTAATGCTGCTTTAAATTGAGTGTCATATTTCAGTATTGAGGACTAGTGTTTATTTACAGCTTATCTCAATTGCTTTGGTACATTTCTTGAGAGGGGTCTGTCTGCAGACCTGGTGCAGTGCAGTCTGAGCTGCATCCAATGCTTTTTAATGTGCTCCCCTAACCCCACCCCTAACCCTAGCATTCACTGACGTCACTACTCGCTCCGTTTAAGTGCATTGTGTCTGACATTGCATCGCTGAGTGATGCAACCTCAGCTTGCATCATTACGGCTGCATCCAGATACTATTGGATTTCTTCAAAACAGTCTCAACATTCTCTAAACTGTGAGTGCAAATATGGAAATGGTTTTCTGGAACTTCAGAACTTTATAGCATGTCTGCAAAATGTAATTTTCAAAATGTAAAAATTCATTCATGCTTCAAAACCTAGTTATCGTGTCAGTGATTTGGCCAGGGCCACCAACACAACATGTATGTTTGCCATCGTGTGAGGCACACCACTCACAGTAATTAGCTGTTTTTTCACCATGAACGTAAACCATGGAAATTACAGTTTAAAAAATCTGATATTTTTTCAAGAAGAGTCAATAGAACGTGGAGAAAAAAATAATTAATCAAAATAAATAAATATATATGGGCCATTCTTCAACTTCTTTCAACATTCTTTAATTTCTGGCACTTTTAGTCGTGTAAAGTTGAGTAAAAAAAAAACTTGTTCAAAATTAACATAACTTTGCCTCACAAGTTTAAACAATTTGTCTAGTTTTAAGAAAATCAGGTAACAAACAGCAAACTAGCAGTGATCAGCCTATAAGTAAGCATCCTACCAGTGGTATAGAATATTCTGTGTAGAATAAAAGCAGTTTAATTTTTTAAAGCCATTTTAAGGTCAATATTATTAGCCCCTTTAAGCTTTATTTGTTTTGGATTGTCTACAGAACAAGCATATATATATATATATATATATATACACACACACACACACACACACACACACAGTTGAAGTCAGAATTATGCACATTTTTTTTTTTTTTTTTTAATATTTCTTAAATGATGTTGAACAGATTCAGGAAATGTTCACAGTATGTCTGATAATATTTTTTCTTCTGGAGAAAGTCTTATTTGTTTTATTTCGGCTAGAATAAAAGCAGTTTTTAATTT